ATATTTAAAATCTACTTTACTTTAATCATAATTATTTAATCGAGTTTTATAAAGAAATTACTTCATTTTTGTATTTCTATCTTAAAATTATATATTGTAAAATTTAAGTTAATTTAAGCTTTATTCAATTTCCTATAATACATTAAATTTTTAAATAAATAAATATATATTTATACATGTAGTAAGAGCAAGGGAGATAGAGAGAGTCATCTCAAATATTGAATTTACTATTTTACTCCTTTTTAAAATATACATAAATAGATTTGTAAAAATAGATATTATTTTATATTCTATTGAAATATAGATCTATAAAATCATGGAAATTAAATAAGTTAATTACAAAGTGTTTATTTATATGTATATATATAAATAAATATTAAATTTAATATATAATTGATGCATTTTATAAATCTGTATGTAAATTTTGAATTATAATTAAAATTTTTTTGGATCTATATTATTCTACATATTATTTGTATTATAATGCTTATTATGTATTTATGTTTCTATTATTCACACAAATTTGTTAATAAATTATTTGAAATATTTAGATGAATTTAAACTTAACGTATGTCATATTCAAATCTATTTACTACACTATTCTTTATAAGTTTATATCACATTTTTTGGATCTATATTATTCTACATATTATTTGTATTATAATGCTTATTATGTATTTATGTTTCTATTATTCACACAAATTTGTTAATAAATTATTTGAAATATTTAGATGAATTTAAACTTAACGTATGTCATATTCAAATCTATTTACTACACTATTCTTTATAAGTTTATATCACATTTTTTGGATCTATATTATTCTACATATTATTTGTATTATAATGCTTATTATGTATTTATGTTTCTATTATTCACACAAATTTGTTAATAAATTATTTGAAATATTTAGATGAATTTAAACTTAACGTATGTCATATTCAAATCTATTTACTACACTATTCTTTATAAGTTTATATCACATTTTTTGGATCTATATTATTCTACATATTATTTGTATTATAATGCTTATTATGTATTTATGTTTCTATTATTCACACAAATTTGTTAATAAATTATTTGAAATATTTAGATGAATTTAAACTTAACGTATGTCATATTCAAATCTATTTACTACACTATTCTTTATAAGTTTATATCACATTTGAATATGACATACGTTAAGTTTAAATTCATCTAAATATTTCAAATAATTTATTAACAAATTTGTGTGAATAATAGAAACATAAATACATAATAAGCATTATAATACAAATAATATGTAGAATAATATAGATCCAAAAAATGTGATATAAACTTATAAAGAATAGTGTAGTAAATAGATTTGAATATATAAAACATAAATAGCTTAATCATCCTAAACTCAAAATCATTACTTCATTTGAGAAAATATTTTTTCCTAAATTAGAATGCAATTGAATAGAAATTGTTGTTTATAAATATATATATATATATATATGCTTACATCTTACATATCTTAGTATTAATAGCTTAATATACAGTATAGATACATGCATACATTTTTTAAATGATACGTTTTATTGATAAAAAATAGAAATCCATGTCAATACTATTTTATGTTTTACTTTTTTTTGGGTAGACACAAATTTTCTTTAAAATATATGTTGTAATAAATGTATTCCATGGTCATACATTGTCTAGTGTAGAATTATTTGTTCATAACAAAATCAGACTAATAAAATCGTATTTACAGTGTATATTGTAGGCTGTTTATTATTATAAAACTCGTAATTAATAATAATTCGTCTCCCATCTATACGGTTTTTTTACGGAAAATATGTACATACTTTCATTTTCATCACCTTCAACTCTATTTTCCATATGCGAATACATGCACTAATTCGATTGCTAATTTTTCAGCATGAATTTTGAAATTTTACATTAGTGTTTCGTATTTGTTGGTACTTTTATGTAGACTTCAGCCAAAAATTTGTCCTACAGTCTTTCTGTATATTCCTCGACTTTTAAAATCCTGAAATCCAAGCAGAAAAAAATGAAAAAGCAAACTGAAACCCAAGAGACAAAGGATAGTTTAGTCATAGTTACGTGAATCTGATAAAATGAAAAGAAGAAAGAAGAATAAAATACAAATTGTAAGAAAGAACGTTTCAGCACGTAACCGAGCATAGGCCTTTTTAATAAAAGTGTTAATTAGCTGTCATTCAAGAGTGAGCCAAAATTGAAAGAATCGAAAAATTTAACTTTCGATTGAACAACGCATATTTGCTAGCCAAAAGTGACTGATGCGATTATGTATAAATCAGGTTCACTTTGCTGATGGCACAAAAGATAAATACTTTTACTAAATTATAAGTACAGTGGCAGTGAAATGATGTAAGGACTGCTCGTTGGTCGATTAGTAGTAGAGCTGGCATAAAAAGAAATCAATATTAATAAGTGTTGGTATTATGTGTAACGACTTAGTTATATAAAAAAGTAATTTTGTATCAAATTTAGAAGATGGAAAAGTAATACATATAGTACAATTGAAAACAAATTTGTGTCGCGAGTCTCCTAATGAGTAGAAAAGCATTTTCATACTTTTGATTACTCACGTGTAAATGATATAAATACATAAAAAAATTCAATGGAAGAGACGTGCATAAAGTAATAAAGAAATGAAAAGTGAGGAAAGTACATGAAAGAAAAAAGTGGAGTTATAAACAGTGGAGTCACAGAAGATATTTATGAAGCTAAAATATGTCATGTTTTGTTAAATTTTTAGTTTTTTATTATATTATATAATTGGATATCTTTTTGGCTCAATGGATATCTAGAATACAATAGTAAATAAATTATTTAATATATATTAATTAATTTAATAATTATTATATATTAATTTAATAATTTATAAATTATTTAATAAGTAATTTCAATATGCATTAAATGATTTACTAAGGTATAATGTAACTAATTTACACCATATTTAAAAATTAATATAATTTAAAAATGTTTATACTTATTCCTTACAGTTAAGATTGATCAAGTTTTCATTTTATCCATTAATCTAAATATAAATTAGACAGAGAACTTTACATGATAGAACTATCTTCAAATATAGCGCAAATAATAAAAAAATTAAATTTTAATAAAATTTGATCCGTAACACTTTAATACATTATAATAATATTCTAATATGTATTTTTTTATTTATATTTTAATGGAGTTATACATTATATAAATTATATATAATATATAAAAAATGAATTATTAATTCATTTATTCATTTAAATAACTTAATTTATGCATTCAATTTCAGGCAGAAAGTCGATAAATTCATATTTAAAAATGAGAAGTATTAACAGCATAATTATAAAATTTTACAAAATCAAATAAACATTTTTTATGATATAATGAAATGGTACTATATACATGAAATTAATTTCTACAATTTTATAAGCCGCAGTTTCGTTCCCATGCTTAAATTTTTCTTACTTTTGCGTATGTTAACAAATAAAAAGCAAAATAGTTGATTTGTTATTTGTCAAAATAATTTTTTAAAATAATCGTAAAAAATCCTAAACTTGTTTTATGCTAAATTTAATCATTACTTTGTGAATCTTACAGTGTTCAATCATACAAAATAATCTTGAATGATAAAAAATATTTTTTATTAATTGAATTGACCAGTTTTTATAGATTTATAAATTTCTTTTCACTTTTAATTCTACAAAGTTTGATCTGATTTATATTGTTTGATTTTTTTGCATAAAATGCATTTAATAATTAAAAACTAGAATTAGCCAAAATAAAGAAATAATATTTAGGAGATTAACAAATACATTCCCTAAAAGCAGATACAATTTGTTGAAAGTGCGTAAAGAAACAACAAATAGGTGAAGGCAGAGAAAAAATAAAGAAACAGAGAGACTAAAGGAGGAGAGTGAGTAAAAGAGTAGAGGATAGGTGAAAAGAAAAAATATATCGCTTGCATGCGCCGCAACCCCTAACGATCGGCTTACGGAAACGCCCGAAGAGATACACCTCGTGTGTCATTGGGGTGCTCTCTTTTCTGCATTTCCACATACTTAATTCCGGACGACTCTTGCAGGAATCTCTTCTACATAGCATCGATTTTTAGCTTTTATTGGTTTTTTTCTTGTTTTTTTTTACGTTTTACTTTTTCCATCATATTTACTTTAAAATTTACCTACATGTAGACGCGTGTATAAATAAGAAGAACCAAAGCGGATATGTGTTTCAGAACTCTAATGATACTAGATTGCTTGTGATAAATCAATGCAATTCAGAGCATATCTGGGATTGACTGTATTTACGTATTTTTATATATCAGAGAGCAGAGACCTCGAAATTGGGTGAGGAAAGCTGCCCTATGAACCCTACAAGGAAAAAGATTCAGAGCGAGCAACAGCTATACAAAGCGTCCGTTACTACTGGCGGAACTATCTCTCTTTCTCCAGGGGCGTGCACATGCACGCGACGTCGGAGTTTTGCGCCCCCGAACGAAAGGAGCTTCTCAAAATCGATCGGGCGTCAGTGGGCGAGGGCGACGGGGCCGAGGCCGAGAGCCCGAGAATCCGGCGCTCAGTCGCTCCAGTAGTTGCTGGGAAGCAGGCTCTGTACGAGGTGTTGTCGCTGTTCTCGTGACGTCCACATCCAAGTGTGCCTATTCGAGTATCCGGAAAGCAAGAGCCAACCAGTGGGCAGGTGAGCAGGTGGGCAGGAGGACCGCAGGGTGAGAAGGCGGGAGGAAGAATCTCCGGAACGGCCGAGTTGGCATACCGCGAGAGGCGCGCACAGCGCTCGATACATCGGCCGCAATAGCGGCGGGGGCGCCGCCACCCCCGTGCGACCTCGGGCCACAATGGGAGGAGGCAGGGCTAATGGCCCAGCTCCCAGTATTGGGGGCCGAAGAGGCCGATAAGTACCGGCTAAGGAAGCAGGGGGCCGGTTATGCTTGGGACGGACTTCTCACTGGCGCTTATCCAGGAAGCTCGGCATGGCGAGGCCTCGGACGGCGTTCGGCATCCTCGTCCTCGGGCTCGTCACCGCGCTGCTCGACGCCAGCGGCAATTGGGATCGAGACGACGATTCGGGTAATAATTAATGATGTATATACATTCCACATGTCCTATTGTAGCTTATCTATAGGATATACAGCTCGACTACCTTCCCACTATGAACGCAATTATACAAGAGTAATGGCAAATTCAGGGCCTCTTATTTCTCTTCCATAGTGTGATGTTCGAATGCTTCTTATTAGTGCTACTGTTGCTGTGTTCTAATGAACGTCAGGCTATTTGACAGAATATAATTAAGGCTCGAAAAACCAGACGCACCTTTCTAATTATTTTGACTGTACTTCTAGTTTTCTATTACATGGAATTAGCTTCTTAGACTAAAATGCTTTTACACTAGATCGATTATTTAAAGTACAACATTTTATAAGAAATAATTTTATAGAAAATTATATAAGAGTCTATGAAGAAAAGAGAGCAATAGTGAGATTCAGAGAGAAAGAGAGAAAAAAGACAGAGAGCAGACACAAACAGCAAGATATAGTCGTTGGATACTTTTACAAATTCATCAACGAAAAAGTAATCATATTATATATGTTTAATCGAATATCTATTTCAAATACCCCATATAATAAAAAAAATATTTATATTCGCTTGAATTCAATTCGTAATAAATAAAGTTTGCATATAGATATTATAATTAATGTATTATAGTTATATAAAATTTTCTTGTCCAAATTTATTACAATATTATGTATTCTTAAATATATTATTTAAATAAAATTTTTTTTGATACAAAAGCTTTAGCTTTCTACTATACTTGTATATAATGTAAATTAAATTTATGCTTTGTACTAATTATTTGGCTTCTTTAAGGAGCTGATTTTAGATAATAAGATTTCAAACATGCTTTATTTGTATGCTTATGTTTATATGTGCGCGCATAAATACGTGACTGTGTAAATATTTATACATATACTTATATATATATATATATATATATATATATAAATATATATATATATATATGTATGTGAAGAAGTTCGGTAATAATCATATACCACAAATAAAACTAAAAGTACTTTAAACTCTAATTTTAATCGAATTTGAATGATTCTTATAATAAATGAAAATTATAAAAATCAAAAAATATATATACAATGACATAGATTTTAAGTTAATTACGAATTTATACAATTATGAGAAATAGTTAATTGTAAATACTTGACTTACATAAATTATTTTTATTACAAAATTTATTTATCTTTATATTAAATTTAATGTAATTCAATTCAATACAATATATAAAACTTAACATTAAAATTAATTAATGTATATAATAATTATAGTATATAATTCAAATTAAAACTGAAATTATAAATATAGGCTATTCAAATAATTTAACGATGATTTAACTGATAAGTTAATCAATGTTGTTAACCGTTAATCAGCATATTCATATAAATTTCGTGATTTTTAATACATATTTTAAACAAAATTATTGTAAATACAATAAAATGTCTTAATTATTAATTATATATATAAATATTGCACACGAATGACAATGTAATATACGAATATTAATAATCCATCTGAGTAACGACAGTTCGAATATACCCCATTAGTTTAAAAGCTTTATATATTTACCAGTCGCAACAATGCCAGTAAAGATGAAAATAAATTTGTGTTAATTAGGTTATAAGGTAATATTTTGTTTGAAATTGAATGTAGTAGAGCTATTCTGTTAGCAGCGGCGATATAATGTTTGCCTTGTTATCGTTGAGTTCGTATTTGTTCTGTTGTAACCAACCATCCGAGTTCAACTTATCAAGCTCCACACTCGCTAATCCACTGGCCCTTACCTTACACCTTATGTATAGCGTACTCGTAAATTCTTAAACCGGATCTGCTGGCATATAGTTGCGGCCTAATCAGACTTGCGCGTCCCTACGTGAATTATTCATGAAACGCTATTGTGAATCAAACACTCTTAATAATGTCGGTTGTGATAGTATTTTATCACTGCCCGAGCGTAGCCATTTTAATCTACTGGCTTGATGCAGATAACCAACCGTGATATCGTATTCGCCTAGCCGCATTAATAATTGAGATATCTGTCATTGATGATCTCAACCTCTCTCCTGCCCAGATCTTACAATCCTCCTTACCCTTGTCAATCTAATCACAGCATTGTTGTATTGAAGAATGGATTCCAATGTAGATAAATCTTATATATTTGATAATACTTATAAAGTTGTAATGATAAATTTTTGTTATTTTTAATTACATTTAGAAAATTCAGATAAAATCTATTTTTAATGAGGTTTAAATAATGAAATATTATTATATACATAATTTATCTAAAAAGGTCAAATCTGTTATTGAATTTGTAATGTAATTAATTGGCTTATTATTATTGAATCCTGTAAAATAAATTGTATACAAATTAAATAAAATTGTATAATGAAAATAGAATATAGTCAATTCAAATATTATATCCACTTTTATGTGGTATTATAATATTATAAATATTAATTTTTATTCAATTATATATAGAAATGTTTAGAATCTGAAAATATTGATTTACTTTAATATTTAATATATTAAGTGACATTTTGAGTTAATTTATTTATTAATTATATTAAATTTTTACAATATCGATTTTTGTTATATATTTTAATAGAATAACCTATGCAAAGTTTCATAACAAATATATAGATTTTATCTGTAATATATTTTCACGTTATTATTTATCTTATAAAACGTATTGTAAATTTATTCATATATTCGAAAATTATTTACATATTTTTCATTTATTCAAATATTTTTAACTCGTATAGTACAAGTATAGTAACAATTATGTTCTTCAACATATATATTTAAATAAAATTTAAACTACTTTATTAACATTAAATTTGAATATCAATAAATTTCATATTTAATTACAATTTTTAATTATGATTTTGTTTTGAAAACATAGGTGATGTTAGTATTGTTTTCATTCAAATAATATACTATCTGCTGTAATAATATATATTATAACTAATAGTATGTATTTGAGTATATATAAATATTATAAGTATTTTAAGTATTTACAATGTTATACAATTTATAACTGATTCAGAGCGATAGCAAAATATTATCCATAAGTGAATAACATACATTAAATACGAACTTATTTATTCGTTATAAAATGTTTTGGTTACATATGAATGGTAAGAGAATATGTGGGACTTACATTATTTTAGTTATTAATTTAATGATAGACATAAATGCAATATTCAATATAACAATATTTTATGAATTATTATGGAGATATATATTGAACAATTTATGATAAAGGTATTAAATGTATCAAACAAAAATAAGGAGTTCATAATATGCTGATTATATAGAATATTTATTGTTTAATTACATGAATGTTTTACGATAATAATAATAGTACAAGTTTTCCATAATATATCATTAAAAATGTAATGAAAAATAAAAATATTATCTTCATGTATATAAAAATTTATTAAATATCTACTTAAACATGTATAAATAAATAATGTTTAGAACATTATATTCTAATAATAATATATCAAAAGTATAAGAGTATGAGGGATGATGTATATTTTTAACATTATAATTTTAAATGTACGTATAAGCTACGTTAATGTATTAAATAATTGTATCGATAAATGTAATAATCACGATATTTGAAGAAAACATAACGATAAGTAATACGTGATTTTACACTACCAGTAATTTAACTCAAAATCTTTTATTTGAAGGATAGATGCACTTTACATCACCCAGTTAATCATATATGATATATATTTTATTCTAATTGATTTTGTATTCTACTTGTACTAATTGAATATCTATAGAATATTACAAATATGACAATATTTCATAATGTGATATGTAGTTTGTAAATCAGAAGTTAATCTGAATTTCGTTTAAAATTTTTTTTTTAATCTTACAATCATTAAGAAACATTATAAAATATGAATCAATAAATTGTGCTTTATATATTGTTAATCTTTCGTTTACAACTTTAATTATATAATTTAAATTGGTTCAAAGTAATTTTATTTTATAAGCATTATTTATATTATAAATTGTAAATTTAATAAAATAATAAATAAAACTATCAAAAATAGGATTTATTATTTATTATATATCGTTATAAATTAAATACTTCTGATTGATTTCTTAAAGAAAAAAAAATATGTATAGATTCGAAAAATAAGCCTTTTAGTAATATGCAATTTATAAAATATAATATAATCTTGAAATAAATTTTTATATCATATATTATCTTCCAATAATTTTATACATTTTAAATATAATTAAACGATAAGAAATTGAATTATATTATTGGTTTCCTGCTATTCTTATTTTAAAAAAAATTAAGTTGTAAAAGTATATTTGTAGAATCAACAGAAATATTTAGAGAGAAATCGAAATAAACCAAATTTAATGAACTTTTTATTAGAAGATATTAGTATGTCATTTAAAAAACTTTAGAATACTTTAGAAAAACAATAAATATAATATTTATCAAGCACCCTTAGCGCTTTAATAATATTTTTTTGATAATTTTATACATAATAGATGTAAACTAATAATAGAAAAATGTAGCTTTTAAAACGTTATAATGTTAATAAATAAAAATTCAATTTATCCAGTGACGACGATCGACGTGAGTGCAGTCCTTGGGCGCACTGCATCCTTGCCTTGTGACATTGAGCCGTCCACACGAGACGATCGGGTTTACATGGTACTTTGGTTTCGTGAAACTTCAGTAAAGTCAATCTACAGGTTTGTATTATGAATCGTAAACGAAATAGTAGTTACTATATATTTTAAAATATATCATCTATTATTATTCTATCAATTATTTTAAATTATCATCTATCATATTATCATTTAAAGGAATTATTATTCCATCCATTATTTATTATTCTTTTTATTATTATCCTTTTAAAAACGAACATTAAAAAACTTTACATTTCCTCCTTATTCAATATTCTATAAACACAGATATCCAACTTTGAATGCCTACGAATACGATCAAATTTAAATTATATTATTTACGTATTATAATATAAAACTTACTACTTTATTAAAAACATTTTCACTCATTTTCTAACATACCAATTATTATCACGATAATTATTTGGAAGTTTTATTTAAATATTTTAATTTTATTATTACATAGTAATATAATTATCAAGTATAATTAAATGAATTTAAATAGTTCGAAAATATGATGAATTTTCACATATTACTATTTTATGATTTTTAGATCAAATGTATTATTTTCTTTAATTTAATGAAATGATATTCATTAAATAAACTTGATAAGATTATTGTTATTTTAAATTTAGAAATTTTATTTTCATTAAATTTATGCATAATTATTTAAAACCATTTTCCAATGTTCTTCTTTGAATGTTAAACTGTGGAGAAAAACACTTTAGAACGAAATTACAGAAAATTTATGATACAGTTGAATTTCTAAATGAAAATTAAAATTGGAATTTTATTTTATTTACTTTTATAATTCAAAATATAAATATTCAAATAATAATTGTAAAATAATAATTTTATAATTATATTTTTTAATTTGATTGGTTTTGATGAATCTTGTTTAAGATTGGATTTATGTATTAGATTGTCGCAAGATTAAAAAGTAGAGTTTTCTTATAAATTTCTCCAAGTTTTAGAGTAATTTATAGGTACTTTTGTTGCCAAATCATAGCCAGTTGAAACAGATTTTGCTTTTAAGATTTTAAATTTTACATTTCAACAAAAATTTACCATTCTTCTGAATATTTATGGTAATAACAATAATTTATACTAATTTTATATCTAATTTTTTAAATTTATTTGTTTTTTATAAAACTTATTCATTATTGCAGTAAACAGTATTCATCATATAATTGTTTTTTTATTTATACTTTTATATATATTAACAATAATTAATTTTATACTTAGAAATATTAATTTCCATAAAGCTCAAAGTCTTTTATATAAACAATAGTCAAGAGTAATACTGTGTTTTAATTGATATTTTTATGTTGTGTTTTAATCGTCATATTCATTTTAAGTTAAACAAACCAATAAAATCAGTATAATTGTAGCTTATTTGTATTAATTTTTTACAAAAGTATAATGAAATTTATAATTACATTCATAAAAAAAACCTAAAGAAAAACTAAAATAAATAATTATTTTTGAAATACAAAAATTAATTTTCATAGAATATATTTTTGCGCATACAATTTTCTCATCTTTCTTTATATATCCGTGATTTCTACCTATTTTGTCTGAATTCTTAATGCGAAATTAAAATATTTGTCTTTGACAATAAGAATTATGATACGATAGTTTGCTTTCAAGTTGCGTATATATGGCATGGAAAGAATGAAAGTTGTTCATACATCCATTCTTATCACATTATCTACTCTATTGTTTATTCTCACTAACAATCTATTATACTTTTATACACTAACAGTATTTTGTAGTTTTTTATGATTAACTTTGTCGATGTAGTAGTATCCATTTTATAATTTTTTTAGTTTAGTGTATCGCCGTGGATTTTATAACGACAATTCGAATTAATTTTATAATTTATGAATCGTTTAAACGTTCAATTACTAATATTTTCCTCATTATTTTAGATTGAAATGTCTTTAAGGTAAATATTTTTTCTGTTTCTGTATTCTCTAAAGTAATTCAGTTTATAATTCATGTCTAATTTGTGTGCATTTTTGTTTTTCATTATTATATTGTATATAAAAGTTTTGTTTAAATTATTGATGCATTTTTAATATTATACTAAAATGTAGTAGATCAACACAGATCATCTTAATTTAAATGTAACTGACTATAATATAAATTAAATAAAATTAAAAATTAATTAATAAAGAAGTTGGAAGGAAACTAAATCAAATATTTTCTATCGCGTATTATATATTTATTAATGCATGCTTTAATAAAATTAATATTTTTTTAAAAATTTGTTTGAAAGTTTTAAATTTCAATATTTTATCATTCACTAATACTCATCAATACAAGCAATACAAATATATATATATATAATAATTAAAATACAAGGTACTATTTATATTTTTTTTCAATCTTCTTTATTATTCAGTAGTATCTCGTTATTCACAAATGAATTAAAATTAAAGTAAATTAAAAAATATATTTAAAATAAAGGTAACTGCTATTAACTCTAAAAATAGCTATTTTTATTATTCTTAAAATGATAATATAGTTTATAATATCTTATTATCATAAATAATTTTTTAATATTCGAATTGATGAATATATTATCAGTTACGAGTAGTATCATTGGTTAGAGTAGTATAAAATTTATTCAAATAAAATTAATTCTTAGATTAAACTTTTATTTTATGTGAGAAGTAATATATATAATTTTTTTCTAAGGCTATAAATTGAAGTTTATAGTTGTGTAAAATCACTGCTATATATATCTCACATACGATGATTCAGTATTATATATATATATATATAATTAAATAAATATTCAATTGTTATAATAAGTTTTATAATAATGATCTTAATAATAATTAATAAACTTTTCAGCTTTTGCTGAAAATTTAATCTATTATAGGTGGTTTATTAATCGATTGAGACTCAATGTTTTTGACTCATCAATCAGTTGTGTTGTTACGATTCCGTAAATTTTACGGCAAAATCCCTTTTTATATAATCCTCCATTCGTCAAATATCGAATGCTGTATGTAACTCTCTCATCTATTATATATATAAAGGTCAGTTCAATGTAGCCACCAAAGTTAAAATGCATTTACCAAATAATTTCTAATCACATTTATAAAATTCAACTTTTGATTTTACTATCTTTTAATATGATTTTTTGTACTTGCATAAAAAGTATCCTTCTATTTCTATCTTTATTTTATCACAAATATCATATAAAAATGTAAATGCATTATGAACTGACTTACTATGTATTCATAAAAAATTGTCTATATGAAAGTAGAAAAAATGAAATAATATTAATATACAGTGGGAGTATTAATTTGTGTATAAAATTTGATAAATTAGTAAAATTTTTAAATATTCTAATAAATACATTGTTGTAATGTGAGTAAAAGTGTGGCACAAAGGTTAATAGGTATAATAAGTTTCCAAGAATAAAGAGCAGTTTTTCAACGTTATTATGAAAGATATTGAATAATTTTTATCAAACAGTATTGGTTGGCGCATAACACAAGCGCATTTCCTGGAATTTTGTATAAATTTAATAGTAGAAGGCAAACCAAATTAATATTTAAATAGAACAGATATACTTGATATTAAATTGAATCATTTGAAAATAATACAATGATGTTATACGATAAAAACATGTATAATTTTATTTACAATAACAACTTAATGATATCTAAATTATTTTTAAAAAACATGGTTATAAATAATATTCAACATCAATAAGTATTTTCTTAAAAATAAATATAATATATATAATAAATTTTTGTATATCATAAATATTACTATTATTTTATATTTTAAAATTAAAGTTATACTGTTATTAAGTAACCGTTTTAAAAAATTATGTTAAAAATATTAATCTACCAGAAGAATTATATATTTACTTTTAATGATAATGACACAAGTATATACTTTGCATGATATTTTAATAATACTTTATTTATAATAAAATGAATACATTCAAATATTCTTTAAAAAAATGAAATAATTTACTAATTCGTAAAAGGACACGTTTGAACAACAATTAAGAGAGAATGTATTTATATTAAAAAATAAAGTTTATCGTTTGTGGCGCATTTGTATTTTGTCACAGTACATAGTGTACAAATAATTTTTATAGAAATAATAAACGCAAATTGTACATACAAAATTTTATTCAAAGATGTGAGATTACTGTTTTATTGCAATTATAGGGATAGTGAAGAAGATATATAAAGAGAAATCGCGACTTTGGCTTAACGGTAAATACATTTTGTACGATAGTCTAACCTCGATTTTTTTTCATAATGAATTAAGCAAAAGCAAGTATATGCAGGTTGAACTGTATATAAAAGAATGAACGATGTTATAAAATTATTATACGGGTTTGAACAGAAGAAATGAAAGGAAGAGAGTATTAGTGAGTAGCTTCCTTCATATGTGGATTTTTCGACTGTTTGAATTCAATAGAAATTTGTACGAATGCCAATCTGCAGAGCAGTTCAGAATATTTTTATTTAATACAATTTAGAACCATGAAAAACCCAATAATTGAAGTAAATTGTGTTTTTAATATCGCTCAAATATCATTCTTTTATTTCCATCCATGAATATACTAATTATACAATAGAATATTAGATTATTGGCGCCAATATTTTGAAAAAATGTATTTACGATTATAGCCTGATATGCATAATAATTTTATATAAATAACAATAAATTAATATATACTTGTATCAACAATAAAATGTTTTCATTGTAAGTACTAAATATCATCGTATAATTTAATTCACTTGTTTTCATTTACCTAGTGGCAATTATTTAAAAACGTTGAATTTGATATTTTAATACAAATCCTTTATTTCATATTTGTCATATAGAGACCGTAATATAATATGAGTTTATCAAATTCAGACATTTAAACATGCCGCCGAAAATTATTGTAAAAAAATAATTTCTTTTGTGAATTACGAAAATTTTATTTTTTATAGAAAAATTTCATAATTTCTAATTCGAATAAGTTCAAAACATAAAATTTTTAATAATATGAAATAAAGTACCAAAAAGAATATATATTTGATGAACTGGAATGTTAAAAAATAAAATTACGTTTCATTTATTTCAAAGATTCTAATTTTTATATTAAATAAAAAAATGTTTCAATACAATTCAAAATAAATTTTAAATTTTTTAATTTTTGACTCAATTTAAAATTTCTTATGATATTTATAAAACAAATTAAATAAATACTAAAATTTTTATATAATAATCACTAATTTATGTATTAAAAATGAATATGTTTAAATAGTTAAAAATTGATGGTAATAGGTAGTAAAGCAATGAAAATCAAAAAACGTAGCAATTTAATTATTTATTTTATAAGTTTCTAAATTTATTCATTCAAAATCAAATATGGAATATATTTGTTTTAATTTAAATAAATAAAAATTAGACAACGATTATTTATTTTCTTTAAATTCCACATATAGTTCTGTGTAGTTAATAATTATATAATAAAAGGAAAGTTTATTCTAGTTCTATCTTTACACGATTTTGTATTCTTGTAATAAGTCTTTTAAATTATGTGGTAGTTGTTGAAAAATAAAAATAAAAATTTCTCTTAATTATTTATATATATATATACATATATATATATATATAAATAATATTGTATTCATGAAGTTAATCACGAATGTGTGACAAATAGGATTATTAACACTTACAGAAGTTAAGAATCTATAACAAGCAAAGCCATTAACACAAGACTTGAATACTTCATTTTTCTTGATAAATTTTATTTTGATTGAAACTAATACTTAATAAACTTTCAATACTTTTTAATATATAATTTTAATTCATAATAGCTTACATGCCAGTATTTTAATTTTGCCTCTGACTATACATTCCGATGGAAATCTATTGAAATCAACATACTTTACTTGGAAATTCAAGATATAATTATATTTTATATTTTATATTTATAAATATATTTATTATTTATATTATTATTTGAACTTTTCAAATGTCATAGTAAAATTATTAAAAAATTATATAAATTATATATTTCATACTTTTTATATTTATATTAAATTAATCTAATATAAAGTGTAATTATAATAAACATTAAGAATTTTATAAACTCTTTTCATTTCACTATTCAATTACTTTGATTTAATTTATGTATTAACATAAAAAGAATTTTTTTAGTGAAATTACATATTTCTGAAAAATACTAAAATAAATAACTCGAAATAATTCATTCAATTTCCTTATTATTGGCATATATTTTTTTTCATATGGCATATTTATCTTTTTGAAAAACTCTATTTCAATTTTCTAGTGTTATTATATTATATTGTTGAAAATAAAGTGTACGAGTATTTTTCTCTTCATACCAATCTAAACATAACTATAAATAAATGGTGGGTGACTCAAGATAATTTCTTTTGTTCTTAGCTTTGATGTACGAGGAAGAGCTTATAATAAGGCACTAAATTGGTCGGATAATAATGCGATTGGGCCACGCGCTTACTTTACAACGCTGACGAAGCCTGCCGTCCTCGCTCTCGATGCTGTACAACTGAATGACGAGGGTATTTATCGTTGTCGTGTTGACTTCAAGAACTCACCCACGCGCAATTTTCAAGTCAATCTCACCGTCATTGGTAAGGACAACCACATCATTCATTTATTATACCCCCCCCCCATACTGATTCAACTATTCTACTCAAATATTTATCTTGACTTTAGATACTAAGAATAATTTTCTTTTATCTATTGACGGATTTTCTTTTTAATTTTTAGACATTCTTATTTGTAATATTATATTTACACTCCTAAGTGCTGTCTTTGTTGTTACATTTTCTATACAATTTATAAAGATGAGTATTATCATGTATTTAAATTTCAAATAAAATATAAATGCAAATGCAGTAAATATTGGACAATACATGCCTATGTTGAATTAATATTATATAGTTTGAGATTATTTCTAGATAATTTATTTCTTTTCTCTTTTTTTTACATACAGACACACAATATTTTAATTCTTTTCTAATTCTAGATCATTTATTTCCAGATATTAAAAAATGAATAATTAAAAATAATTAAAAAATATTTATGCAATAAAGTGGTTAATCTCTATTAGTATATTTGATACTATATTAGTATCAAATAGAAATTATATAAATAAAAAAGAAAGTTGAATTGATCTAATATATTGATTTAAATGACAAAATTATAACTAAAGTCAATTGTCTAAATTAAAATTCAATTATAATGATTTTTAGACTATTTATTTTAATACTGTATTGTTGTAATAAAGTAATATTATATAAAATTATTATTATACAAAACACTTTTATGTTTATAAAATCCATATTATTTTTTAAAAAACTATTTCTATAGAATTGGTCTTATACTAACAGACAGCAATTGATAAATTATGATAAATTATTTTTAAATGCAATAATTTTTCTCAAATACAATTTTACAGCTAAAATATCATTATTAGTAATAAAAAATAAAAAATGAATGTAGTACCCTCTTAAAATAATGTTACTATTGTACTTATAAAATAGTTATTCAGTTTCAATACATGTAATTACAAAAATATATTTAAGGTTTTATAAATATTTGTTTAAAGTATTTTTTATATAATAAGATATACACGTATACGTATTGTATCATACATATTGCTGGGCATATATAACAACTCATTGCATGTGTGCTTATTAATGTATCTATTTAATACTTGAATAATAATATTTGAATCATTATTAACAATAACTAAACGCCAAAACTTCATTGAAACAGTTAATTAAAATGTTTGAAAAATTTTTCTTCTCAATATCTTTTTCTCAGTGACGATATATTCTACCGATCTGTTTGAATATTTTATTTTAACTCCCTACTAAACAGAAAATTTTGTTGGAAATGCTTTGATTTCTCTTTCTCTCTCTCTCTCTCTCTCTCTCTCTCGCTCTCACTCTTTCTCTTTAAGCATTTGTAACGGCAATATTATTACATATAAAGCCCAAAAAATGAAATTTTATATTATTCTATTAATTTCACAATCCATTTGCAAAATATATATAAATAATTATTGGTATTAAAACTATTCAGATATAAATTCTATAAGTTGATTTATGTTTATTATTCAGTAATCAAAGTATTTAAAAGTTTTATAATAAAAGTATTTAGAACATTATAAAAAGGTATAAAATATTATCCTTAACTTAATAACTGAATCACCTCTCTATCCTATTGTAGGTAGAATCTGTAATATATATTGTTGAAGATGTAACTATGTAGATATGTGTAGATACTATGTAGACATGTATTATCGCAATGTTTTTTCTAAGTCACCTTTACCGTGTTCCTCCCCACTCCGAACCTTTGACATAGCCGTCTTCACCTATGTACACATGTTATTAAAATAAATTAAATTATAATATTTTACATTTATGACTAATCAATCTCCAATACGTCTTGTATAATAAGTTTCTATATTTCAATAAAACCGATTAGGTATTGTAAATTTTAATTATTTTATTTTAATTTACTTTTACGAAAAATTACAAAAATGATAATTCATGTTATGTTTTTTATGCAACTACGTATATGACTTTCTTTACTTCTGTTAATATTCTAATTTCATTAGCTATGCATATTCTAATAAATTACTATTATATTCTTCGATTATCAAGTACAAGATCATAATATTTTTAATTTTAAACGATTTATTTGAATGAGTGATATTTTAATCAAACTATTTTATAATATTGAAGTTCTCTCATTAAAAATGTTCATTTTTGTTAAATCTAATCATATTATACTATCACGAATAGTTTTTGAATAGATTAATAATTTCTTATAAAATTTATTCTGTTAAATAAATGTTAACGTTACTATATTATAATGTATACATATATGTTCTTAAAAAATTTTAAAAAGAACTTACAATTTATTGAATAGTAATAAAATAATATAATAATAAAGTCAAATTTGCATTTGCGTACTTTGTAGCAATTATAAATAATCATTACTCGTATTTTTTATAAATATTGTTTTTTTAGTTCCACCTCATCAATTGCTTATCTATAATAGTTCTGGAGCACAAGTGAAAGCAGTCATTGGGCCATATGAAGTTGGCATGCAGTTCAGTCTTATATGTGAAGTACGAGGAGGTAAAAATTTTTAAATATTTAATTTACTTTTTTTGTGAAAAATATATTCCACATTTTATAATTAGTGTAAACAATTATTCTAAGAAATCAGGTTTCATTTTAATTTGAATCATAAATTTATTTCTAAACTTTAAAGAAGCATCTTTTTAATTTAAAATTATTTTTGGATTTATATAAAATTAACATTTGATTTAAAATAAAATTTTGTTATTTATTATTTATTTAAAATGAATTTAGAGATTTTATAATACAATTTTATTGTAATTTCAAATGCAAATCTTTCAAATCTTGATTAAACTTAAAAATCATCATATCATAGAATAATATAATACAAATAGTATAATACAAAATTACCATTTCTATAAAGTAAAAATTAAACTTTGATTTATTACTGAAAATTAAAAAAAAAATAATAAATTTAGTAAACATTATTTTATTCACTTATAATTATTATTACAAGTGACTTACAACTTTTACTTTCCAAATATAATCGATTTAACAATTTAATAACATTTTTAGTCGTTTAAGTCCGTCGTTTAAAAAGCTTAATAATAATGATAGTGATAATGTTCATAATATATAGTAGTGGTCATGATGTAAAGTAAATTTTAATATGCACCAACATAATTTAAATATTACTTCTTAATAATATTTAGAATTTCTAATATTGAGTAGAAGTTCAGCAATATAAGCATTGATATTCATATGTAGTCTCGTCGTCTTTTCAAGTGTACTTACTCTATACGGTAAAACCAAATGTATTTGACAAAATAAAGAGTTTACGGTCACGGCTGTTGCTATTGCTAAATCTGTTTGATATGGAATTGGTTTATAGGGAAACCGATACCGGTAGTATCTTGGTACATGAATGAAAAAGAGGTGGCGGGACGCATCGACGAGACCAGTAACACGATTGTGGTCAACAGACTCATCGTTCCACAACTGAAAAGGGAGCACCTCAATACCACATACAAATGTAGGGCATCCAATACAAATCTGATGTCTCCTCTAGAAAAAACTGTACTTTTAGATGTCCACCGTAAGTTCATTTTATGTATTACTGTAGATCATATAATCTACTTTACTCTTAAATCATTGTTTATATCTTTCTGATTAATAGAATAATTGCCAATAAACGAAAGTCTTTTAAGCTTACTTTTGATTTTTTTATGTGATTCTTCGTAAATAATTTGATTCAATAATAAAATAGATATTAAAAAATATAGGTACATCAATTTATTCAAGTCAATATAGGTTAATATAAATATTATTTATAGGAATAAAAATTAGTCATAAAATCTTTATATTATAAAAAATTAATTTAATGTTTAAAACCCGTTTTGAAAATATTGTATATTGAGAAGAAGATATTTAAAATTCTATATGAACAGTATCATCGAATTTAAATTAAAAGAAAATTATCAAAATTTACGATTTTTTACTCTATATCCAGTTCCTTCAAAACATAGAACATAAAGATATGAAAAATAATTAATTACTAAATAATAGAATCTCATAAAAGAACTATATGAAATTTTGATATTTTATTAAAAAATGTTTTACGATAGTTCCTAATTTTTAAGATAAAAATTAAATGATAAAATTGTGCTTTAAATAATTGTTTACTTTGTATACAATTTAATATTAGTCACTAATTACTTAATTGCAATAAAACTGTTATAATTTGTTATTATAAATAATAATAAAAAATATTGTCTACATTATTCTTTTATATTATTATTATATTTATAGTTTTGAACTTCGAAAGTAATTAAATGATATTTTTTTACTCAGGCATTGTACGGTTCGGTGGCTAATATCAATCATAATATATATCTAATCTATGAATATGAGAGTATCTATCTATCTAAATTATTTTCTATCTATTTAAATCTACTTCATATTTATAACATATCTATCCTTTTCTTCTTTCCTGCATCTACATACTTTGACAAAACATTAATTTCTATTATTTATTTAAAAATTGATTATTTATTATAGTACTGATTTGTTTGATAAATTATAGAAAGATTTAAATTATTTAATTAACTAATAGTTATGATTTAATTCAGTTTTTACGTACTATGAAATTCAATTAATATGCCATACCAATGTAAAATTATCATTGAAATTATTTGTATAATACAATTGATGTATAGGGTTTAAAATAATATTACATCTTATTCTATTTCAAATTATAACTTAAAATAATAATGCTTTATACAATATTCGAAAAAATATAAAAATCAGAAATATGAATTCAGGATTATATATATTTAGAAGATTTTTTGCTAATTTTTCTTCTCATTTTTATCTAATATCTTAGGATAATTAATTACTAACATTATTTATCTATGTTAATAAAAATACAATAACGAAGTATTAAAAATTTATAAACGTTGAAGATAATTGAAAATAGAATAATGAATAAGATTCAATTGTTAACATTATTTATCGTAAAGGTAAATTTATTATATCAATTGAAAATCTTTATACACTTAGATATTTTAAAGATAAAAAAATTTATGACAAATTGAAAAATATTTAATAAATCTTACAACGCTTATTAAAAAATACATTTCTATTTACAACATGAAATGTGTTGAAATATTTTTATTTGACAATTTTTAATTTGACAATAAGTACACCATTAAATAATTAGATGTATGATAAAGTATTTAACGAGAAATCCTTATATTCTGAATTTAATATTTCATTACCGGTGATTTTACATTGAATATCTAAAGAAAGCATTTCACTAAAAATCAATATCTATAAAGTCAATCATACCATGTCAAATAGAATTAACACTATATGAAAATAACAAATCCTTATATGTTTTAAATGTCCATTTTCTTCCATTTTTTCCTATTAGTCTAAACTTTTCATTGCTTTTCCCTAAATTATGCTTGCATACAATTAAGTTTATTTTTATAATAATATTGACCTATTATAGTAAAACCCATGTCCGTAAAAATACTGACAAAGCCGCCAATCATGGAAGCCGAGAAGGACTATTCGATCGCATGCGAGACGAAGGGCTCGCATCCGAAGGCGAAAATCACGTGGCTTAAGGCAAATACACCGTTCATGAGTGCCCGGGTATGTTGTATGCACATATTTTATCATTATTAAACATTAGTCAAGTCTTGGCACTCGCCAACAACTCAATTAATGCTATGTGAATGTATATTATTTACTCTTTATGTTCATCAGTTTAGTTTTTTTAAATATATTTTTTGTTTAAACAAAGAAGACCCATGAATATTATAAAAAAGAGTAAAAAAAATATGTGATTCAATAAATATTATTTCTATTTCAAAATCTACATCAATAACATGCGTTTTTCTGATTTAGTCATACATTATTATCTTTTATATAGTACTCGTTATTCAAATAATTGGAGTTATAATTCTTATTTGAATTTTTCAAATGATTAGTTTCAATCTGCAGCAAAAATTTTTCTCTTTTATTTATTATTTTTGTATAACTTTTAAACGAAATGTATTATGTATATGTAGAACAATATGTAGATGACTTTTTGATTCTTTGAATATATAAATTTTTAAATATTTTTTAACTGTATTATATATAGTATAAAAGTTATATATAGTAAATTATATATAGGATAAAAATAAACTATGTAAAATCATGTGTAATTTGAAAATAATAGTTACATTTTATTAAGAAATTTATAATTAAAAAATTAATCATTTGTCATAATGAAATTAATAATAATTTGTATTTAACACTATATTAAAATTAATAATTTCTCAATTAAGTAAGAATATTCTAACTTCATTATTATATTTAAACTTTTATATAACGAAGCCTTGTGATTATGAATTTTCAATAATGTTAAATTGAATATTTTGTTATACTTTAATTTAAAATGCAATATTCTTTCTAACGATTAATCAATAAATTATATATTTATTAAAATTCTATACAACTATGGTAAATTAAAAATATTTAATAATAAATAAATTCTATATTAACTGAAATAAGAGAATGGTTACTGTAAATGAATTATAGACCGAATAAATATTTCTTTTGTAATAAACGATATTTCTTTTAATTAAAATATTAGTTTCTAATTGCTCACAAATTAAAATGATCATATTACATTTAAGATTGACAAAGCAATAGGTCAAATTGCTTAAAAATATGTTATAAAAATTTAAATAATTTTAATCATCATTAGCGGAATTCACTCACCCAACCATAATATCGCTGTGAATATGCATTAGTATCCGCTTTCAAGATAGGTGAAGGAAAAGGGTTTGCTTGTCTCGATGTGATTGACAATTAGATCCGCGATAATAACTCCTTCAGACCCGTTGTAATCTCATCAAGCATTAAAATACGACAGGGATGAAAAAGGGAAAAGACTTTCTAGGTTCAAATAACCTCATGACGCACTTTTGTTGTGTTGAGCAGGTAATGGAGGATGGGGATGACTCGACACTAGTTCTGAGTACACTAATGTTTTCGCCACTGCCGGAAGATCACGGAGAGATCCTCAAGTGCCGCGGAGAGAATCCAGCCCTTTCAGGCGCCTTCCTCGAGGACTCCTTCCACATGAACGTCGTCTGTAAGTATGCCGACGTTTAAAG